AATCAATATCCATAAATCAAATGCATTTCTGTACATCAGTGATGACTCCTTGAAAGAGGTATTAAGAAAACTGCCCTATTCACAATAGCCTCAAAACCCATAAAATACTTGGGAATTAGCAAAAGAGGTGAAAGACCTTTACAGTGAAAACTACAGAATACTCAAGAAAGAAATTAAAGAAGACCTTAGAAGATGGAAAGATCTCCCATGCTCTTGGATAGTCAAAATTAATATTGTCAAGTTTTAATTTTAAAATGGCCATACTACCCAAAGCACTATACAGATTCAATGCAAATTAAATTAAAATCCTAATGTCATTCCATATAGAAATAGAAAAAGCAATCATGAAATTCATTTGGAAAAATAAGAGACCCAGAATAGCCAAAGCAATCTTTAGCAAGAAGAAAGAAGCAGGAGGCATCATAATACCAGACCTTAAGCTATATTATAAAGCTATAGTAACAAAAATGGCATGATATTGGTACCAAAATAGACATGTAGACCAGTGGTATAGAATAGAAGTCACAGAGACAAATCCACATAAATACAATTATCTCATACTAGACAATGGTGCCAAATACATACATTGGAGAAAAGATAGCCTCTTCAACAAATGGTGAGGGGAGAACTGGAAACCTTTATTGCAGCAAAATGAAACTACACACCTATCTCTTACCATGCATAAAATTCAACTCAAAGTGGATCAAGCAAGGACCTAGAAATTAGACAAGAGATCCTGTGCCTAATAGAGGAAAAACCAGGCCCAAATCTACATCATGTCATATTAGGCTTTGACTTCCTTAACAAGACTTCTAAAAGAGCAAGAAATAAAATCAAGAATTAATGAATGGGATGGTCTAAAACTAAAAAGCTTCTTCTCAGCAAAAGAAACAATGAGGTGAAGAGAGACCTTACATTTGGGGAGCAAATTTTTGCCACACACATGTCATATAGAGCACTAATCTCCAGGGTATGTAAAAACTCAAAAAACTTAAAGGCACACTCATACATTGCTGGTGGGACTGCAAATGGTGCAATCACTCTGGAAAGCAGTATGGAGATTCCTTAGAAAACCACCATTTGACCCAGTTATCCCAATCCTCAATCTATACCCAAAGGACTTAAAATCAGCATACTGTAGTAACACAGCCACATCAATGTTCATAGCTACTCAATTCACAATAGCTAAACTGTGGAAGCAACCTAGATACCCTTCAGTAGATGAATGGATAAAGAAACTGTGGTGTATATACACCCCAGCATTAAAAGACAGTAAAATCATGGCATTTGCAGGTAAATGGATGGAGTTGGAGAATATCATGCTAAGTGAAGTTAGTTAGTGCCCAAAATACCAAATGCCGAATGTTCTCTCTGATAAGTGGATGCTGATCCCAAACGGGGAGGAGGGAGGCATGGGAAAATGGAAGAACTTTGGGCAAAGGGGAGGGAGGTTGAGGAGGGTACATGGGAGCAGAAAAGAGATGGACATCATTACCCTAGGTACATGTGAGACTGCACATAGGGTGTGACACTACATGTGTAAAACCAGAGAAATGAAAAGTTGTGCTGCARTTGTGTACAATGAATCAAAATACATTCTGGTGTGCTATAAACCTAATTTAAATAAATAAATAAATAAGTTTTCTTATTTTTTTCAATGTATTGCTGATTAATTCCTTATCTTGTCTTAATTCACTACTGGGTCTATTCAAAACATAGGCTTACTGATTTGCCTGAATTGATCAGACAATTCTATCAAATGGATGAATTGTTTTTTCCCCATTGAATCAAGCAAGTTTTTAAACCATCTGTTGTTTTCACATTTTGCATAGTTATCCCAAGATTTGATAAAGTCAGTAATAGAAATAATTACAGAAATATTTAATGAGCACTTAGTTGTTTCAGGTTCTGTGCTGTCACTTAGTTCTCAAAATAAACTTATCTGCAGTGTCCCCTTATCACTCTGCTTCATGGATAATGCAAGTGAGGTTTAGAAGAGCTACATAACTTGTTCAATGTTAAATTGCTAGTAGTGGCAGAGGGGGATGTAAACATGGGAAAAACATCCCACTTTGGTTCCAATTAACTAGCCATTTCCAGTAAATGCAGTTTGGCGTTTGGATTACCTGAAATGATCTTATTATATAATTTTGGTCTCCTTGTACGTAGGTCAGCTTACTTTGAGACAGACCATCCAAATGCTTAAAGTTGTTTTAATGGTAAGTAGGTTAAACAAATTTGAAATGCAGGACTTGTTTTTTCAGGCCATACCTCCTTTGTAAATAATTCATTATTCATTCAGCAGCTATGCTCAGTGCTACCAGTCAGTGAGAGCATTGTGAGAGACATAAATACAGAACGCAGCCTAGTGAGAGAGAAGTGCGATGTTACAGAGGTGTGAACAAACTGCTAGTGGCATTTAAAAAGACAAAGATTTATTTTAGTGGGATGGATCAGAAAAGGTTTTACAGAGTCCCACCACCTAAAACTTTCTCTCTCCCCATGTGATCCCATGCTTTGCTTCTGCTCCTCTTCCAGGTTGTTTCCAAAATGTCACCTACTCATCAGGCCTTCCCTTACCACCCCATTTACATAACTTCCAACATTATTTACCATCTTACCTGCTTTACTTCTCCATAGTACTGGTCACCTCACTATATGCTTTTTCATTTATTGACTTCTTATCTGTCTCCCCACATTAAAATACAAGCTGTAGGAGGGCAGAGCCTTTTGTTGGTTTTGTCCACTAAAGTGAATCTCGTGCTTGCACAATGAAAGAAATAATACTTCAACTGGACCTGCAGAATGGGTAGGATTGAGCTAGACATTGGTTGAAAAGAGAGAATTCCAGGTAAAGGAAACCTCCTAAGCAAAGAAAGGTAGCAAGTCGCACTGTGAATTTGGAGAAGAGTGTGATTGTCCATTGGGTTGCAGTGAGATATGGTATGACATAGTCTGAAATTACCTACATTATGTGGTTACAGTGGTTATGATTTAATTCAGCAGGCAGCAGGAAGCCCTTAAAATTTGACCTCTTTAAGCGTAGTTGCACCTTAAGTATCTTCATTTAATATCTAATAATTAAACAAAATCATTCCAGGTAATTCAAGTGTCGGGGTGGAGCTAGGTTGTGTGGGTTCTGAAACTAATAAAGTTTTGATGATTTTCTTTAGAGAAAAGGATACAAAAGTTTGAATCTTAAATTAGATCTGACCTCTGAGTGTACCCCTTTCCTGTCACACTGGTGTGTTAGTACAGTGGGTGGTAGGAGCCATCCGGGATTTCCTTCCTTTGCTGGGCTTGTTAGCAGTAAGAAATATATGTAATATATGGCTATGAATGGAAGCCATGTACATATAGCCTGCTAGACCCAGGTTTCCTTAGCCAAATCCTGAAAATGCCTATAGCTTCTCTGATATAATGGAATAAGAAGGGATGGATGATGAAGGAAAAGTCATGTGGAAAGAGACAGCAAATTGTGATTAAAAATGGCAGCTGAAATGTCTGTGACCATGGGAACTTTATGAACTTGAGAGAAGCCGGTACAAGTAAGGGGCCCTGAATCTTTACTGCCTTCATGGAAACACTGCTGTGGAACTCTGCTGAAGGACCCAGGATAAACTAGGAAGACTAAGGGAGTACTGGATGTGGTGATGAGAGGATGGTTGGCATGGAAGTTAGGAAAGGAGTCTATGAGGAACCATTACTGGAACCATTAATGGCACATGGCTATTGAACCAGAAGAGCTGGAAAGGTCAAGGTATGTGAAGACCTTAGGATACTAAGTAGTAATCTGAGAGCACACTGTAATTGTAGTAAAAAATTTTCTCTGCATATTTTTCACTAGGCATATTAAATATTTTTCATATTTTCAGAGGAAACTGCGCTCATTGCTCCAAATTTGCTTTGTCATGCTGTTAAGGCAACGAAACAGGACATTATTTAATAGGGTCTTGGTGATAGGAAAGAATTAGTGTATCTTCCCCAGGTGGCTTATTTATAAAGAGAAGTAAACTTAGGTACAAGGGGAAATTGGTTGACAAATTAGTGGGTTAGTAAGTGGAAATTCAACTTTAGCATTTTTTAGCTGTTGTGCTTTAGAATATAAGATCACCATGCTGTATTAGTGTGACCTTTTGAAGTTTGCAATACTTTTATTAGAGAAAATGTTGAGTAACAAGTAGTATCCATTGTAAATCTGTGGACAGAATCAATGTCAACTGTAGTCTACTTATGATGACCTTGTAGTGTATCAGGAAAATTCTTCACACTTTAATGATTTACTGGAACATTAAAAATATAATTGATTTAATCATACAGAGGAGAAAAAATTATGTTCAACCATGAAAATGACAAGTCCTTGACTTGACTTTGCTTTGGAACAAGAATGTACTTCATCCACTCTTTATTATTATGGTTGGGTTGTATATACTTTAAACTCCAAAGCCCCCCTATTTATTCTAAGCTATAGTACTGAATGCATTACCATGGGAGTTCAAACAGATGATGTATGTATATATATATATATATATATATATATATATATATATATATGGCCAAGCCTTTAATAAAATGATATTATAAAAATTATGTTAGACTATCAAATACCTAATAAACAAGTCTCTGATGAATACTTTATATATATATCTTGGGTGAATTTTGAGCCAAAACCAAAAACAAAACCCCTCAAACTATAATCTGTCACAGTAGGGTCTTTCAGAAGGGAAGCAGAAATTTTTAGCTTTCAATGCCATAGAAATGACAATTGATACTTTGGCTATGAAGAAGGAAAATAGATTTTATGTTTGATGCCAATTCCAATAAATTGAGAGTATCTTCCTGGGGCACAGCGTTAGGATGGATTCTGAGACTGCTTCCAGGCTCAGTAGGAAAGAGGACTGTGATCAATTAAGGAGTAGGGAGTCACAGCAGGTGTGCAATGCATTTGGTATCCATGATGAAAGAGCATTTAAAAAAAATCAATAATCACCAGGACTTACCAGATAAGCCACCCACATCCATCTTCTTCAGATTCTTTGCCTCCAGAATGACGACAGTCAGTTTACCAGCAGTAGGTACATAGCGGAGGGAGAAGCAGATGTCACCCAATTTCTCTTGCTATGAAAACCAATAAAAGAGGTATTAACACTTTTTCAGATAAAGGTGAATGAATATAGTTTGTATGTACATATTGTAAATCCCTTGAGAGAGGAGGGTTATGACAATTAGAATCTGAAAACTTTTAGGACCATGGGTACACAGTGGTTCTTTTATTCATTAAGGAATCATCAAGAATGATACCAGTTTTTAAAAAAGCACATTTATACTTTAACATCCATCAAAATATATTTATAATTCAGTGGTACTGGAAATGATACCCAAATGAGCACTGCAAAATGCTCAACAAAAATTTAGAACTTTATAAAAAAGCTTTGAAAAGGGCTTGTTTAGTAGAATCAACCTACCTCGATTTTTTTTTACATATCAAATAGGATTATGTCTAACATTTCATGTTTATGGTTTTGGGAATAAAGACTTCCATTTGTGTTTTATTAAATTACTATTTATTGGTGAAAATTCTGAATTCCTAATAACTGAACTGAAATGAAATATATTTTATACTTTTAGTTTTATTCATTTCAAATGAAGAATTCTGACTTTCTTTGTCCTTATCTTAAAATTTGTAAAAAAATTGATATGTGTAGTTATACAATATGAAGAATCTCATAGCTCTTCATGTTATTATTCATTACATCATATTTTAGACACACAAAAAATTCACCGATGCTGTACTAAGGCATTTTTAAACAACTAATGCTGCATGTAAAATGATTAAACTACCCTCCACCCTGCCCCAGAAAGAACTCCTAACAATTCCCCCATTTTAAGCGAGACTCTGGGATTCTGTAGGATTACATATTATTCTGTAGGATTACTGGTTAAGAACCATGCTGTTGCTCAACAGAGTAGAATTTGCATTCATGTGTGTGTGTGTGTGTGTGTGTGTGTGTGTGTGTGAGGGAGAGAGAGAGAGAGAGAGAGAGAGAGAGAGAGAGAGAGAGAGAGAGAGAGAGAGAGGAGTATGTTGTACCCTTCTTAGATCCAAGAGGCTCCCTGCTGCTTTGTAACACAAGGAATTAGCTTTATGTCAAATCAGAGTTGTTCCTTAGTGTTTTCCCTTACAAAATGAGAATTCTGATACAGAAGAAGGCAACAGTTGTGTCAGACTTCTGCAGATAAACTTTTAACATAGGAATGAGGTACAGAGGGAATGAGGTACAGAAGCCTATATACTCAGATGAGGATTATATTTGGCCTTATCTATATATAATCTGACATGTATGCGACACCAGCCAGTCTTCAATGTAGAAGTAACTGCCTAGAGGTTAATTTAACAATGTAAGGAAGTATAACTACTTATTTTGGGATACTCATTATATTCATCTTTCAAGAAAGAAAAGGTATGATTTATCTGTAGGTAAGATGTAGGGAGAGAAGGAGAAAAGGTAATACTTTCTGCTGAAGTAATGTCTTTATTGGAAACAATACCACATGTGTTTATGGTCTCTATTCTTTCATTTCTCAAATTTCTCAAGTCCCCATAGCATCTTACATCTTACCACTCTATGTTAATAAGAGCTGGGTTTTTTTTTTTTTTTTTTTTTTTTTGTACCAGGGGCACTTAACCACTGAGCCTATCCCCAGCCCTTTTTATTTTTTATTTCGAGTCACGGTCTCATTAAGTTGCTGAGGACCTTGATAAATTGCTGAGGCTGGCTTTGAACTTGCGATCCTCCTGCCTCAGCCTGGCTAGCCTCTGGGATTATTGGTGTACACCACTCATTCTGGCAGAAAAGTTTGTATTTCTATTGTTGTTTGCATGTCTTAATTCTCCCACATGACTGTACCCTCCCTGAAGGCTGGGTCCTTGACTGGATATCACTTCCCATACATTTTCAAGTGTAAATAGGTGGAAACTTTAGATAATACACCTGTTTGAAATTACTGAGGTCATAACTCCCTTTCATTAGAATAAAACAATAGGGAGTTTCTTGTAATGTGCCAAGTTCTCCTGATGTGCCCACTCACCCTTAGGAATGAATTGACACACCAGGAGAGTCTAGTGGAATATATTACTTTTTATAATCTCTGAGAATAAGAGAGGGAGTTAATATGGAAATTAACGCAAAGTGTGGCAAATTCATCTGAACTTTATGAGACAAGAGAAATGAAAATGAACAAAATTGCTGTTCAAAATGCTCATTAGGTGGAGGGTTCTTTGTGGTGGAATCTGCCTGTTCTCCTGGACAGCCTCCTTGGGGAGCTGTCTGTGCTGCAGGGTCGGGTTACTCTAACCCTTGCAATAGGCAAGTCAGACATGGCCACTCTCTGATATCATTTCCCTCTCTCTGGCTCATTGGTAGCAATATATAAACATCAATTTATAACAGTTTATTACTACAAAGTTCTAGAAACCAAGATTTTCTAAATTGTTAAAAAAAAAGTTTCCTTTCAGGTTATGATGATGGGGGGGGATTTTCTTGGAAAAAAGATAACCAAATCTAAATAGCAGATCCTACTACTTCCTAACTATTCCATCTAGTTTTCTGCACAACACCGTGGAGGGTGCTGATATGTCCACTTATAAGTGAAGACTTCGTGACTCAGAAGTTATAGTTTTCATAATATCCCAGTGAGGAACTGAAGCAAGGTCTTTTGACATAAAATCATGTTTTCTTTACTACTAAGTGGCCATGTTGAGTGATAAAAATTAATAGTGCAACCCATCATCCACTTGGATATTCCACTCTCACTTTAAATTAATTATGCTAAAGTCCTCCCCTTGAGTGTTCTCCTTTCCAACATCCCTTCCTGTCATGGTCACTAATTAATCTGTTTTCAGTGACTAATTCCCCTTTTCTCTGTTTTCCTGTATTCATTCAACTCACAAGTCTTGTTTTTTTTTTTTTTGGTAAATATGTCATAGACTTCATTTTCTTTCATTTCCTTTTTCTTTTATAATCAGTGTAAGCTTTATCTTAACCACCTCAACTATCTCCACCTCCAGAATGACCTCCACCTCCATAAGATGTTGCCACTATCACCACTGCTACCCAACACCATGAGCTCAGCACCACCATCCCCACCACCTCCATTCTCACCATCAGCTCCACGGTGTTTGAGATCAAGCCTAACCACTTCTGTCATATTTTTTAAAAATACTCTCATGAAACACCTCTTTAGTTTTAGTGTTTCCAAAGTCCAATGCAGGCTGCAAACTAATGCCATATGAATGTTTGAAAGGTTCAACCCTCTTGTCCTGACTTTTAAGAAGCTCTGTGTTTTGCCTCTGCCCTGACTGTCCAAACCTTTTTCTCTGCCTCCTCAACCTTTAGAATACATCTTGAATGTATTCTCTCCTCATTTATAACACAATTGATATTAGGTGACCAACTGTCCCCATTTGCTCAAGACTGCAGGGAAAGGCCTCAGTCCCAGGAAAACCATGACAAGTGGTAACCTTAAATCAATGTCGTCAATATTCTTGGCTTAAACTCCTTTAACAGTCTTCTAATAGTTTCTCCACACCTACTCTTGCTCCTTTCCAATATTTTCCTTATATAAGAAGCAGAAGGATCCTTTCAAAATAGGATTATGATCATGGGACCATTCTATTCAAAGCCCTTCAATATTTTCTCATTTCACTTAGAATAACATGTATTGCTTACACTGACCCTTCCATCTCTTAACACTATTCTGATCTCATTTCTTCTTCCCCAAACATGCCCAGACCAATTCTGTAACAGGGTCTTCTACATTTGCTGTTCACTCTGTCTGCAATATTCTCCCCCAGATGCCATTATGAATCATTCTGTTATTTGGCTTTATACTCATGTCACCGCTTTAGAGAGCCTTTATATGGAGAGCTATCTAAGTAATCTAATACACTCTTAAGCACATATTCCACCTGTGTCCTAGCACCTGTCATCACTTGATATTCTGTTTCTTTAGGTTTACTCCACCAAAACATCATACCTATGCGAGAAGAAACTTGTTTTTCTCACTGCCATGTTCCCAGTGCTAGAACAGTGCCTGGTACAGAATAGAGTTCCATATGTGCCTGTCAAATGAATAATGCAGGTTCTCTACAATTGAATGCAGTCAGAATGGTCTTCTCAGTATCTGCTTTTTCACAACTTGGATTCTCTAGAGAAGCAAACTCAGAATTCTTAAAGCAAGGTTTATTGGAGTATGTCCATTTGATCAACACTTATGGCACGGGTGGGAGGGGAGAGAAGCAGGATTGCACAAGTAAAGAACTTGGGCTGTGACATAATCACATTGAAGGCCTCAGCCAGTGCTCTGGGGTACTCTGGAGCTTGGATAGCTCTTCAGAGATATTCTGAATTGGGGCATCAGAGATAAGACTTTACAATCCTGAATCAACTAAACACTGAGTGTGGGCTGCCCCCATATCTAGTGTCAGGATCTCTTCAGCTTAGGATAATGTTGAGAACTTAGTTATGAGCTGTCAGTCATCAACACTCTTGACAACCAGGACAATAAATACCTTAGTCATAATGGTGCAAACATTGGGAGTTCGTGGGCTGGGGATGTGGCTCGCCTAGCATGCGTGCGGCCCAGGTTCGATTCTCAGCACCACATACAAACAAAGATGTTGTGTCCACCAAATACTAAAAAAAAAATATTAAAATTCTCTCTCTCTCTCCCACTCTCTCCCACTCTCTCCCTCTCTCTTTAAAAAAAAAAAAACATTGGGAGTTCACCACGGCAATCACTACTTCTCCATGAGCTATGTACTTTCCCACTACCATTTTTTTTTTTGCTTAGTTAATAAATCCACCTGAAATATCTCTATTCCCTTCTGCCTAATTAAATTACTCCTACAAATGAAGGCCTAATCCAATTTTGTATTTTTAATGAAGCACCTCCTTATGCAAGGCTTTCTGGTAGAAATTTATTTGTAGCCAATATTATGGTGCCCAGAGATGATTTTCCCCCTATTTACTTTGCATATTTTATATTTTGGGTATGAGATGCTCCATGAGATGCTCATATGATAATGCAAGAATGTTCAGAGGTGAAATGATTAGATC